TAAATCATTAGAAATCGAACAACGAACTTGCTTAGGTCTCTCGTCATAATAGACCATTTTAACTTACTATTGCAATTCCGGTCAGGCGTTTTCGTAAAAATAAAAATGGACTAAAAACTTAGTCAATTTTTATTTTTCTTGCACCGACACATTTGTAACTTATTAGTGTTACTTTAGTATTTTTTTATGTATAATGACGGAATGTTTTCTGTAATAATCACAGAACAGAGAATTCTGAGTTACTTCCGGAATAGGTGTGCTGGAGAATACCACCGGAGAAATGTTGTATGAAAATGAAATCAGTCAGATGAGGTCACGACTTCACCAGTAAATTACTGCTATGGTTTCTATGACTTGACTGTCTGGACTGGTATAGCATTTTTTTTAAGGTAACTGTACCATTAACTTAATGTTATTGTGTCTATGATCTGACATGGTCTGAAATTGTATGGTATTTTACCCAGGTCTACCTCTATACTTCGGTATACAAGTTAGCATGAGTAACTCTGCCTCAATTATTAACTATATTTCTGTCATAAAGCAATCAGTTTGTAAACTGTGTTATGATTTGGGTGCGGGATGTAAACTGATGTACAGGATACGATATTCGTATTTATTTTCATGTACCTACCTACACATAGGCGATGACTGCAACTTATTTGCCATTCCAGTCATATTAAATAAACATATTGTCAGTAATGAACCACCAATCTCCATAATTAACAATACCTTCCACTCCTATTTCTCTAGTTGCCTGCTACGACATTCTGAACTAAGTATAATTCATTAATTCATATTCAATAATACGAACTAATTTATATGCGGTAGAAGTGGGAGCGAGAGGTATACCAGCGAAATCTTTCTAAAATCTGCGTGATCTTAATTTTTCTGGAACTGCAGTAAGCTTATACCGCAAAACAAAATTGTTTGAAGCTACTTTAACGGGCTCCTACCAGATTTGGTGAAGGTGAGTACCGATGTACGTCGGCAAGGGGCCCCTTAAATCAACATTACACAAGTTTTGGAAATAGCTGAGAGTGAATCCATCTAATTCTAAGATGTTCATCTCCCCAGTCACCAGACTGGTGATACATACATACTGACATATATACTCTATCACGTATCGAATAATCTGATTACATTAAAAACCTAACTTTCCCTAAAAATTACTGAGCAATTTCGAATACTTTATAATTTTCTTTACTAATTACTTCAATCACAAGCTACTCGTCGACACTAGAATTGTCAACATTATAACATGATCGCGACTGCAATTAACACTTTCGATTTGCAAAATGAAGCGTGATACAGCGTTCGAGACATGAACGATTGTATATCACGCGACGTCCTGCAAATTCCAATGACTTATGGTTTAATTTCAGTGTCAAGTCGAACGAGAGCTGATGAGAAAACTGTGTCGCGCCGTAATTCCTGACCATAATCATCATCGTTTATCAACAGACGATCCATATGCTTATTTGTTATTCAAATTCAAATACAAAATATCTTTATTCATGTAGGTCGATTACAGACTCTTATGATATGTCAAAACTACCGTCAGTTCGGAATGATTTCGGGATGAGAAGAACTGAAAAGAAACTCAGCTCGTATTCTTTTCAAATAAATATTATTAATGTTTACAATAATACACATTCATTTTTAAATTCAAACTTGGGATTTAAATTTTTATATTCTATCGTGGTAATATAATAAAAAGTCGAGACCTACTGTACAAAATTGGAGATTAGTAAACTGAGTTTGAGTTTAATACATGGTATACGAAAGCATAACACTGTAGTCCTGACAAATAGCAACGTATGAGAAGTACTACGATATATAAATGATAGTCATTAGCGTCGTGCACTCGTGCCCTAGTGGCTACTCTGCAATTTTTAGGTTATTTATGTTTCCGTCTATTTATATTAACTCACCGTTGATAGAAACACAATAAAAATAAGTTGATGGTAATGCAATGGTGCACTCTTTCTCTTTTCTCTTTACGCTTGCTGGATATCTGTGGAGGATAGGAAGAGCATGAGGTCAGGCAGTTGGCTCATCGTAGCAAATTCGCCAGGAATTTATCATAATGGTTTCCAGGAGGAACCGTATAGAGGCCAACCCGTCAACAATCTCTTTCCCTAAAAATAAAATAACCAGCGAATTGGGAATATGTTAAATGTTAAGTTCACCAATATGATATAATAATATCTGTGAATAGTCCTTTTGGGATAACAGTAGTAAAAGTATGTCAATATCTAGATGCGAAAGAAAAAGTGTCTACTTACACTTATTGTTAAAAACTTGAAAGTCAATAGTGCGTGGTCTTGAATTATTTATTTATTGGTTGTTATCGTTGAAGCATCCACAATTGGGATTTTATAAACAGCAATATCTTATACAATGACACTAATAGCATAATAAATATCCAGTTCTTTATTATTGTTATCCTAAGTTTAAAAGGATTTTAATTAATAGGTAACAATTCCATGTACCTACATATCCTGCGGGTGAAAGATCTTAGCAGAACATTTTGAGTTAAAAAACAAAGAAGATTTACAATGTTTAATGTGATTTGTTACATCTAATATTTCTTAATGTAAGTATATTAACCTCCTGGAAAATGCATTAAGGTACCATTAGCGACTGTTAGCCGTTGTTAAAATCGAATAGCATTTTCATAGCTTACTGTTACACAACTCCGTCGCTTTTCACCAAACCGTCCCTACATTTTGCAGATAGAGCAAAGAAGGTGATTATACATTACTAGCTACTCGCCCCGGCTTCGCACGGGTGTACATGTATTATATAAATAAACCTTCCTCTTGAATCACTCTATCTATTAAAAAAAACACACAAAAAAAATTACACATAAATAAAAAATATTTTTAGTTAACCTGTTACTAATTTCTGTACAACAATAGTAGTACCTATATTTGTAAAAAAGAGCAATAACATAATTTTTTACGGCAATTGTTCAGGAAACTAAAATTTTTATTGTTTATAACAAAAAATATTCCCACAGTTTTATTATTAGATATTTATAATCTTAGGAACCTCTTGGAACAACAATGTAGACATCCGGCTTTTTTACATATAATAGAAACTACGTGGACTGCATTTGCCTACAAGAAAGCGTGTCACTTGTAAATATTTAACTTTACATTGTAACTAAAGTAAATCTCTACATATATACATATAGCATGTTACAAGTTCGAACTAGGTTTAGTTTAGTTTTAGTTTATGAGTTTGCACTTGCCTCGGAGGTAGATATATCGTAATGGTTGTCTTTTAGTATATATTTTTATGGAATTGTATTGGCATACAAGCTGATAAGCGGTAACCGTCGCCTGTACATGAACAGCATTACAGATTCGTGCGTTGCTATTCTAGATTTGTGTCCTAATGGCATCATAAGGCAACTTAATCAAAGCTTACAACGCAATGTGTTCTGTGGCTTAAATGAGTGAGATTTAGGTATCTACGCAGATGTCTTTTAGTAATACATGAAGAGTGTACATTACGTTTCATGTGATTAACGTGGTACCCTTTATCAGAGAGTCACTTTTCCGCGGAACTAAACCGGCTCTACAGAATATATCGTTAATCGTTTTAGATTCATTAAAAAAGTGCATATATGAGTAATAACATATTTGAAGGATTAATAGCTAAAATTCGTATCTACAATATCACAAAATAAAATTTCTTATAACTACAATATATTATGCTCGAACGGAGAACTGAACATAAATCCCAAAGGCCATCATGCCACAAACCGGTATCAAAAATCTAGATCAATGTCAGACTGGTATTAAGAATACAATCGTTAATAGTATAAGATTTTGTCCAACGAAAATCAAAACAGATTAATAAATAATAATAATAAGTGACCCTGGACAATTAACAGACCGCCATCTAGTTCCACGGTAAGCAGAGCTTGTGGTATCAGTGTGTTACAACTGATATAAATATTTAGATATTTTGTAAATACATACTTAATATACATAGAAAACACACCACCAATACGAACATACTCATGAATAAAAATGCTTGAACCGTGCCAGGAATCGAATTCGCGACCATCGGAAGTGAAGCGGTGTGCTAAACCGCTAGACCACCGAAGCCGTACAAGGCCGGATTGTATAATAAATATGTAAAATATACGCCACGACTGTTATCCCAGATGGGCTCGTCACAGGCATTATAAATTGTAGACCTCTTGGTAAACGAAACACTAGAGATGCTCATATTTCGCTGGGTACCATCGCGTATTCGAATACCGGGGCGTGTCGTAGTGTACAGTCGTAGTGTATTCTTATTTTTGATTTAATATCTTAAATAATTTTTCGATAAATTGACACATTATTTTGTAATGTGTCCCAACCCCTTTATTACAAACTAAACAAAACAATTCTTAAAGATAATAGACAATCAAATAATTACCAACTTTGTAAGTTAAAATGTATGATTTTATAAACATAATTATACAAAAGAAATACCTATCTACTAACTATTATAAAACCACAACAAAATTGTTTTCTAATGCAAAAGTTTTTCATATTGTGCTATTTCAATTAGAAATACTATATTAATGCATCGTAATTAAGAATAAGAAACAAAAATAATACTTCACAATTAAATTTAATTAAATACGTATTATCACAGATAATATGTATAATTATTGCGGAAAGTCAGCATAATTTATACTTTAAGTACATTAAGAATTTTGCCAAAATGAATTCTGGATTCTAAAATTCTTACTATTTAGAATTAAATCACAATCACTATAATAGAATTTGTCATTAAAGAATTTTTTTCTAAGAATCAATCACATTATCATTAGCGTAAGTTAAATAATATTATGCCATACAACTTTTATAAAGCAGAGTCGAGTGTCAATGACTTAGCTAAAACCGGCTTGTGTGCTTAACTTACACGTACGAGCCTACACACTATTATCAGCTCAGTTAATGCAGTATAGTATTATTTTTAAAGACATATAGGATCGCTGGAAGGACCTCAGTGAGATTGAATAGTAATCAGTTCAATAGTGAGATCTGTACAGGCAACATGTTACTTGTACAAGCAATTTATTTATGCGGGATCAATGTGAGTATAGATGTATTGTTTTGTTTTAATAAATAGAATAATGAATACATAATTTAGTAATAATAATAATTGTTTTAACAATAAAATTTAGATATTTAAATTCTTTATTCTTATTTTATTGTTTATATTTAAAAAATCTTATACCTGTATAATATATATTTAAAAATAGGAACAATCACTTGACTATTCTGTTTCACTAAAATATTCACATTCCGAATGTGTCGGTAGAATTAAAAAGAAAATATTAATTTTCATTAATTATTTCATTAGATCCATGCTCAACATTGGGAATTTATTTATTTGGGCAGTTTTTATTGAGACAAACTAACTACAAAGTCGTCTACATGGTTACGTCAATCTTACTATGTCAGCCAGTTTCCTTTGTAAACTGCATGTTTGATGGGTGAGATATGGCAGTTAAATTATTGAGTACGGATGCATAACAACTTAGTCCATAGGAAAGCATGAGGAATGGCATAATTTGATGACGTGTTATCACTTCTCTTTATATATATATAGGCCATAATTGCGTGTTAACATAAGAACCGTCAGTTTATTTGCTATTTCAGGTACAAAATAAAAATAGAATAAGGTTCAAGGTTCATTTTATTGTTGAACAAAAAAGATTATCGAATCTGCAACGGTTTTACAGTGTTGTAACTTCTTTTATTAAGAAATCACATTTAAATAAAATTACCATAAAAACTAAAGTTGAGTTATTTAGTAGACATTGGTGAGTGAAAGTGTTTGCTGCAAGCAAGTTTGTGTGCAAATTTTTGTTTCTTTTTTATACCTAATACGGAGAGCGATAGAATAGCGGCCCACATTATGGAAAGTAGCACCGTTTATAATGAACAGCATCATCGATCATCACAAACGTTTATTGTGCGTAATGTTTTTATGTATTTCGAATGGTAAACAAGGTGGCGGCGCACCTGATGGGTACGTGGTAACAACCCTACGTATCCATTTCGGAGGACTAAGATCTCATGCTTCTTATCCTGTAATTTCACTGCTTTTCAACCGAATCACACCTTACAAAGGAAGTTGCTTTGCAAATGAAATAGGTAGATAAAGGTACACAAGTAAACGACTTTTTACAGAGGGTAAGGGGATTGTTAGTAATGTGGATTGATGAGCTCATTGCTAGCAATGTACCATGTCTGGTTGCCCCTGCAAACGACGGGCTAACTGACCTGACCTTATGTTCATCTTATCATCTCCACTGTTGCTCCGCCAGCGTAAACCGTTAGCGCAGGCGGGTGTTTTAATTATTATTATTATACCGTGACTGAATATCGTTACAATGTAGCTAACTACTTTATAAAAACCAGCCTAACTACTCTTGAAAAACTTAAGAGAAATGACGTCATAGTATATAGGTATACAATAAAATTCCGTGATGTTCGATGACGCTGCTGGTTATAATTATAGGACAATTATCCTATGTTTGTATGAATAAAGAGAATAGATAAGTACTATAAATACACAAAACATACAGTTTATGTTGTGATTTTCTATGCATTTTTTTGTTCTTTTTTGATTTGTCAAATCCAATGACAGGAATCGTGCGTTCGACTTCCGTACAGTACAAAAAATTATGTCGACAACTGACTTTTTGTATTGTCTCGATTAATTATGTCTACCAATTGTTTTTTTTTCTATCTTTTTCAGTTTGCACTAGCCACCGAGGCCCCATATTTAGACCTGAATGATGGGAATAAGATTCCTACTGTGGCTTTAGGTACAGGAAGAGGAACCGCGCATGGCGTAAGTAGTCTTTATTTTTTAAAAATTATTTTGTTATGCATCAGAATAACATATATGCTATATTTTTTATTGAAATTTAGCGCAGGTGATACTGCGGGCACACCTAGTATATAATAAAATAATACCAGGAGAAAACTGTCTATTTATTTATTAAATTAATCAAATATTTTAAATATTATTTTTGTTTAATAATACGTTTGGTCGCTTCATGACCATCAGTGACGGCCTCAGTGATCTAGCGGTTAAGCACACCGTCTTACTTTCGATGGTTGCGGGTTCGATTCCTCTCACAGTAAAAAACATTTATATTCATGAGTATGATGGCTTGTATAGGTCTGGGTGTTTTTTTTTATATATAATATGTATGTATTTACGAAAAACAATTATTTATGTATTTGCATGTATTAATGTTTAATCATTTATTAATGACTGGCGACTAGTCTCAGTTCCGCAGTGATGCATTACAAATCTTTGGATATCTCGATTGTTTGTTGTTCTATACAATAATATCTCTTGATCTTTCAACATCTTCTTGTTCTATACAATAACACGCATGTAATATACATATAAACCTTCCCCTTGAATCACTCTATTTCTGAAATCGAGTATTTTAATGCAGTTTTAGCATTACAAGATTAATTATATTTTCAGCAATATAGGATTAAAGCAATACAGCTTATATATTTTAAATTCAGTAATTAAAAAATATAAGAGTACAGATTTATTAACAATTGATTGCAGTCGTCTGTCGACGAGGTTCGGGATGCTGTGTTATGGGCAATAGAAGAAGGATACCGTCATATTGATACTGCGGTATTGTACGAGGACGAGGTACAAGTAGGCCAAGGTGTTGCAGATGCCATCGCCAAGGGGCTGGTTACAAGAGAACAAGTATTTATTACGACAAAAGTATGTATATACTATTAGTTGAACAAATAAATTAAATGAGGTTTTTAACATTATTGAAAGCCTCGCTGGTGCAGTAGTTTGGTACACCGCCTACTGATAGTCGCGGGTTCGATTCCTCGCGCGTTTTAAACATTTCTATTCATTACTATTATTGTTTCTTTTGGTGGGTGGGCGTTTTCTATGCATATTATGTATTTTTTGTAAATATTATAAAGAAAATTAATCCAAGTATTTAATCTCTTGTCTAGTACCCACAACACAAGCTCTGTTTAGCTTGAGTGAATTGTCTTAAGATATTATTATTATCTTCATGTTAGAATCTAATATTTTTGTTTATGTAATTGAAATTGCAAGCGTACTGATGGCCCACTTGATGGTAAGTGGTTACCGCCAACGAGGCCCATAGAACTATCGTGGTTAATTTGTAGTCTAATTATATATATAGGTACTTCTTGCTTATCCTGTAATGCTCCACTAGTGTGCATATACCGCAATGGCTATGGTGGTGCATATTTATATGTTGCTTTCAATTTTATTTATTAAAAAAACCGCTACAATAGATTAAATTTCATGGAAATAAGCAGTTAGAGGTAACACTGTGTGTTAAAATTGTATTTTTTCTCTCTATTTTTCAGCTGCCAAATGACAAGCATGCTCGGGAACAAGTAGTGCCCACTCTTAAAGAGTCACTGGCCAAGCTTGGCGTGGATTACGTAGACCTGTTTCTTATACACTTTCCTCTGGCTACAAAGGTAGGTACATCATTAAAAAGTTAGAATCTATTAGCTGTATTCTGCGAATTCCCCTGCTTTTGTTCAAATAAAAAAAATTGTCTATGTCAACGGAATACAGTCTATTGACGGCCTCGGTGGTCAAGCACTTTAGCATATCGCCTAAGTTCCGATGGTGGCCGGTTAGATTCCTCGCACGGTACAAATCTTTGTATTCATGAGTATGATTGTATGTATCAGGCTGGGTTTTTGTATGCAGAATTATGTAATAAAAATTTCTATATTTTTATATCAGTTGTCTAGTCTTGTCAAGTGTTATCTTCGCTATGATGTGGACTGTACAAAATGCCACTGATTACCGCATCTGTAATATAATTGTGAAGGTAACCTATATCCAAAAATAATAAATCATTCTTCCAGAGTGACGGCTCTCCAGATGACATAGATTATTTGGAAACTTGGAGAGGCATGGAAGACGCGAAGCAGCTAGGTCTCGTAAAATCTATTGGAGTTTCAAACTTCAATATCGAACAGATAGACAGAGTGTTAGCTGAAGGCAAGGTTAAACCGGCTGTAAATCAGATTGAGGTAATATATTTAAGTACAATCTAAAATCATTGCGTAAACTAGGTAATTTACTCGGTAGTAAATATTTACAAAGTCTACCTTGGTAGATAGACTTTGTAAAAAGTCATCTGAGTACTATATACTGGGTACTTTACTAGGTTTTGAGTATGTTCTTAGAACCTACTGAAATACCCACTTCGGTCGCACAAGCAACTTGCATACCAAACTATTTTTCGGTTAAGATTAATTTTGGTTAAATTATATGATATGGAGGCATAACATCTAATAACGCCATTGCTAGCAAGGCACCATGTCAGGTTGACTTCCACGCTGTATCCTTTGAAAGCATCGTTATAATTCTAGTAAATTTTCCACGATGGCCTAACTGGTCGGATCACATCTGCATCTTATCATCCTCCATTGCTATCCCGTCCTATCCCATATGTCAGTGTAAACCGTTAGCAATGGCAAGTGGACCATTACATTATCATCCATTAAAAAAAACGGTTACCACTATAAGGTGGACGTCAACTTGTTTGCCATTATAATTACACAAAAAAATAGACTGAGAGCTCGTGACGTAACTGTCTAGCTGCTAGTCTAGATATTAATTTAGTACTGAATCTAAGCATAGAAAGTATAATTACTATAAGGCACCACGCATCAGATCTAATTTAGATTAATATGACATCATATTAAAATTTAATATCGTATTTTTTTATCATCATCATCATCTATATCATATATCATGATCATTCTATGAAAAGTAGGAGAAAAATTACAGGTGTTTTCAATGAACACAAGTGCCTAAAAGGTCTGAGGTACAGAACAAACCATAGTACATTAGTTCATTCATAATTTAAGAGCCACGCTCTTGTCGGTAGAGTTCTTATCACTTTCCACGATTTGTTGTGATGTTGATGCGACTGTTATATGAAGCAAATATCTTTCTTATCGCAACCAATATGCACTACGCATATATAAACTATATTCTATGATATGCAGATTATCTCTCAATTAGGCGCATATCTACAGGCCACCGTTACTATGACTCAGAAGGTTTAACATCCCTTCAAACATTTTTCAGGTACACCCAGCACATACAAATGAAGAATTAGTGATCCATTGTCAAAATAAAGGTATTACTGTTATGGCATACAGTCCGTTTGGGTTCTTGGTGCCTAGACGTTATGCTGGTGCATCACCACCACCACCACCACAGATCGACAATCCCACTTTGGTGAAAATTGGAGAAAAGTACGGCAAGAGTACTGGACAGGTTGTATTGAGATATTTGGTAAGTTTCACAGAAACTGATATTGATACTTACTAGAGATAATAGAAACAGAAAGAAAGAAAGAGAAAAGATTGAGAGGGATGTTTGCGTCATGATTAAGATTCCGTTACTTGGGTATTATTATTATTATTTGGTTATTAGTTGTTCAGTTATTTTCATATGATAACGTTACAAAGACATATCTATTCTGAATGCAACTATTTGCTCATTTTCTGACTTAATTTTCGCGAAAAGAATTTAATTATGTTAATTAAACACTTTTAGATCTTTAAATTCATTGTACAAATAATATAATCTTTTTATTATGTTTCTTTTTATATATTCATTTTATATTGCTTTTTCAGATCGACCGCGGCCTAATTATAGTTCCAAAATCAACAAACAAACAGCGTATAGCACAGAATATTAATTTGTTTGATTTCAAACTAACGCAGGAGGAAGTTGCCACTATCAACAAATTTAATAAAAATAGAAGTGTATTTGAATGATTTTTCAGATCGGAAATATCTTTACTTAATTTTGTATACATACAAAACTAAGTGTAACAACAATTGTAAAATTTATGCTTGTCTGTACTTATACAGTTATATTATCGTAAATTAAATCCTGAACAATGATTTTTACAATTCTATATGTAATTGTTTTATTTGTACATACCACCGACTAAGTTTAAATAACATGTATATGTATGCAATTAATATACATACTTTTAAATACTTAGTTTCATCTTGTATTATTAGACTATCAGAATTATGAATTTATAGATTGATAGATAAGATTTTACACACATAAAGGTTCATTACATATAGTACCTATACATTACAGAGTATTTAAACTAATACAATAGAATGTGGGTAAACCTACAGGTATGTGCAACAGCAATACAAAATAATTTATAGTTCAGTGTGGAGAATTACTCAAGGAGCAACACAGATTTTTAGATATGTCCGCAAGGGTGTATGTAAAAAAATCTACGGTACGGTATCAGTAGTAAATATATATAACAGTATATACCTTAGTTGCGAACAGACAACTTACTGTTAATTATACAATTAAAAGAATTAAAATAATCATGTACTGTTAATACTCGTAGTAGCATTAACATCGCGCATACAGCTATGACGCGCTCGTCTTCCTACTGCGGCTGCGCGCCGTGCAATATTCTGCATCTGTGGTGCATTAAGTTTGCGCGGGAAAACTAAAAATAATTGTTGTACTCCTAATTCTTAATTATTTTATACTATTCTACAAACTTTATATGTCTGTAATTTACTTTTATATACAAGAAACCCAATATAAATACAGTCCCTAGTAGCATACCTAACACAAACAAATTTAGTATTTTTATTCGGTCATATTTCATTAACAGTTTTAATATTGCAGCCAGAAGTCTGAAATTATTGAAATCTGTATGTGCCATTCCTTGCGGTAGTCTCCAGCGAGAGCTATTTTATAATTTATCTTATTTCTTTATCTGGAATGGGTGGGTAGGTGGCAACCGTCACCTGTACACTTACACTAAGAGTATCACAGTCATCTCCTTATGGTATGAGTTCATAGAACAATCTAAATTTTTTGTTCCGTATATGAAGTGATGTGTAGTTTCACTGCCATACCTCAGCCTTCAACTGAAACATACCTTTCAAAGAAACTGCTTTGCGGCTGAAATTGTGTATACATTAAGATGATTTATAAACTAGCGACACATCCCGGCTTCGCACGGATGCATTACAAATCTTAGAATTTTTCGAATTATTAATACGTATGCATTATACATTATATAAAGCTTCCCCTTGTATCACTATATCTATTGCTGAAAACTGTATTAAAATCCGTTGCGTAAATGAAAAGATATAAGCGAACATACAGCGGCGGCGATATAAAAGTAAGTACGTACTATAAAAGTAAGTACGTACTATAAAAGTAAGTATGTACTATAAAAGTAAGTATGTACTATAAAAGTACGCAATAAAGATTATTGCAATATTGTAGAAGAGAATGTAACTCATTGTAATTATATATTTATATTTTTGAGTACATTTTCAATCCATTTTTCCAGAACAATTTTTCTCTCGCCGCTATATTAAATCAGGAATTGCCTACTATTTTCAGAAAAGTACCTATAGACCCTGACATTAACATTTAAAAGTTCTATGGATTGCTTGACATATTGCCTAAGTTGCTTGTTTAGATAAAGTTGATCAACAACGTTTGCAAACCAGTTTCGTACAACTAGATAGTTAACCTTTATAGTTAACGATTTTATTTTTATAACTGGCTGTTACTTTCGTGGATATTTATTTAAATAAAATAAATAAAATTTCTGAAATAATATAAGTTACTTCTTATAACATTAGCTATCTACGAGTGAAAGTCCTGTCAAAATAGGTCTAGCCGTTTCAGAGAATAGCAAGAACAAACAGACAGACAATACTTTTTATGTAAATAGCGCGATATACTTTCATATGCTTTTAGTAAAAAGCTGTTAATTTAAAATTTCAAACAGATTATAATGTATAAATTTAATAATTGTATTTAACTAGCCAATGACCTCAAGTGTGTAGTATTAATACTTCAAAAAGTGAAACCACGAGCACAGCTGGTACTACAAATATTTGTAAAAAGAATAAATCATCATAAATCGTCACGTAATCGTGTAGTTATCGCATCGTGAGCTGTAAATAGTACTAACATAAGTTCAAAACTGAAGATCACAGCGATGTGTTCAAGATTTGGTTCTACTAGTTATTGTGTTTCTGTCAGGCGCTACAGTAAGATGCGGCTGCCTACCACTTTAGTAGTTTGCATTCTAGCAACGTCAATCGTGAGTAGACATATTTATTATATCAAGACTTATTGATTCTAGTAAATAAATACTTCACTACTTTTTTAGTACAATTATTATTATATATACTTACTAGCTGACCCGGCAAACGTTGGTTTACCATAAAAAAATTAAATTGCTATTGAAAATAGGTGTTGGTGGTAGAAGGGTGAGAATTTAGAATGCCACATCATAAAATTATTAAAAATTAAAATTAAGCTTAAAAATATTTTGAGTGGGTTACATTTATCACTTCAAATGTAAAAAAACCTTTTCACAGCCCTACCGAGTCTAAATACAAAATTTCATCAATGTCGGTTAAGCCGTTTCGGCAACTAACACTATGACACAATAAATTCATATATATAGACATCAATTATTATTATTTAATTTGTGGGACTAGTTGTGTATTTAGATCGTGTACATATATATTTAAGGTTTTAAAATGGTCTAAACAAACTTGATCAATTATGGAATCTTTATATCTGTGACATCATAGTAATAAAATGGATGAACTAATTTCAATACCTTTGAATTTTAATATGTAATTGAACTTGTGAACTAAAGTTGCAATGAGTAAAGTTATTTATTCGTCATTGCTTGCCTTTATATCATTTAGTTAGAGTTTTAATCTGTCACAATGTCATCTTCTTCCACTGATCCCTATCCGCGATCATACTAGACCTCTATAAAGACTGTATGCATAAAAGGAGAGCAGCAGATGAAAAGTTAGAGGTCGACCGAAAAAAAAGGAAGAATGAAAGAAGATATGCATATCTCTAACTTTTCATCTGTCCACGTTCATATTTAGTACTTTTTTAAGACATGATCTTCGTTCTACCGTCGGAATCATTATTATCATTTATTACATAATATAAAAAAAGCAGTCGCTTAAATGTATGTTTAAATCTTTAAAACTACGCAACGGATTTTGATGCGGTTTTTTAATAGATAGAGTGATTCAAGAGGAAGTTTTATATATATAATACATGTACACCCGTGCGAAGCCGGGGCGAGTAGCTATGTAGTTTATAATATTTTAGTAAGTAGATCAAAATACAGATATAATATGCAGATTTTATCGTAATTTGCACAAGGTTAATGCATTTGGCATTATAAAATCAATATATGTACTTTGTTTTTATCCATAGTTGACATGATATTATTTTTTACCATTAAATTTAATGAAAATAGTTATAAGGAAATACTTACCCATTGGGTTTTCCTCATTGACCTGTGTCAATTTATCTAGAATCATTTATGTGTTCTATATTGCTTCATATGTTTATTCGTAATTTCGTAGAATGTGTTATCATCATGATGATTGTTGGGGGTCGTTCTATACTTCATATGTGGACACCACTCGAGAACCGTTTTGATTCTATTGTTGGCTTATGAAAAATGGAACTACCATCATAACTAATTACCATAATAGGTATTAGGGTTTGATGACAAATAAATTGAATCCACTAAAACTGTTTGTCGGCTTTTCTGAGTAGTTTAAGTAAAAAAAATTACGTTGATAAGTGACATGAGTAAAAAATCTGGCCGTGCTTTTTGATGACTAACTAACATTTCGAGACCACTATGATAATATTGTTGATCGTAGCTACCGTCTTCTTGGGTTCATTACAAGATCAACTAAAAACTTTCGGCAGAGTAGAAACTTAATTACTATCTATTACTCAGTCGTACGTAGTATTTTAGAATATAACTCGGCTATCTAGTCTCCCTTCTATAGACTACATAGCAACCGAATTGAAAGTATTCAAAGACATTATTTAAAGATACTTAGCTATAGATGCGGCTTGGGTCGTAAACTTGCATGTTACAGTGAACGTCTGAAGTACTTCAATCTGGACCCTTTATATATAAGACGACAAAATAATGACCTAACCTTATTACATAAAATTATTCATCATCAGTTGGACTCATCCACTCTTCTTTCTCTATTAAACATTAATACGAGATTTAGATCATGCAACCGTAATTATAACACCTTCTATCTTCAGGTTTACTTAAATAATACTTCATATTATAAACCAATAGTTCGAATGTGTCGCCAATACAATGAAATTGTTGTCTCGAATAGAAATATAGATATTTTTCATTCAACATTTAGGCACACATAGTGTTGGATTACAATCCAGTTGTGTACCGAACTACACGCTCCTAATTATATTGTTATATTGATTGTAATCTGTTTTGTATGCTAATAAATAAATAAAAAAACATAAGGGCACGCCTCAAATAAGACATGAGATATGGGCGAGAAGATGATATTAATAATTGTAGCATATTAAGAAGTAATGAAATTTTTACACAATATGTTGTTGATTTATATAGCACTAAAGAAAGCTGAAAATACTAAAACGGGAAGGAGGACTTTTAGTGTCGATGCTGAAAAACATATTTTATAAAATTTCCTTTTACTTTATACGGTTTTATATCGTCATAAAAATAGAATATAATGGTTTATATGATGGTATGAGTGGATTGTCTATGTGGTCCTTGGCGATTGAGATCTTAACCATTTGATACAGTTTGTAGCTGTGCGAGAACATCGCACGATTGACTAAACAAAGCTTACTACAGAAACAGGTATTATTCGTTTCATCTTCGTTATTTATTATAATTAAGATGCATATAAATTAATTAAATTGTGAGGGGTGGGGATAAATAAAAAGGCTGTGATGGTATTTTTACATCTCTGAAATAATTATTTATTTACAAAACAAATGAATGCTATGCAAATGGATGAATGAATGAATGCATTCCAAATTCAAAATATGAAGGAGTTTTTATTTCTCGTACATGAGGATAAAAGACGCTAATAAAGATGACATCGTTGCATACTGATCTACAGTAATTTGCGCACTGTATTCACTACCATAAACGTATTCGCTATATAATATTACATGTATTCAGTTATTTATTAGGAATTTATTAATTATTAATTTCCTATACCACATTATTATTATGAGTCAAGTTTATTCAAGATACTAATCTTTTATGTAATATATTTTATTTAATAAGCATATAAAAGTTAACATTCTTCAACTAAAGGTTGGTTCGTCCCTAATCAAGAAACAAGTAAAACAAGTATTATGTAGGTATAATGTATAATATTATTTTTTTAAAATAGTGAATGTGGACTACGACCGTTCTCTTGTTCAACAGTATAGTCAGCTTCATATATATACATATATATATTTAGCGTCATGATTTATTAACGTCTATTAATGTTATTTCTATATTAAGTTCAATATGATAATAATATGTTTATATTTATTATTATTATTATTAATGAATCCAATCCTATTAAAACATCTTTATAAAACGCTAGCTGCCAGGCAAACGTTGTTTTGACTTAAAATAAAAAATAAAAAAATAGGAGTGGACTACCCCTAACATTTAGGGGGATGAAAAATAAATGTTGGCCGATTCTCAGACCTACTCAATACGCTCACAAAATTTCATGAGAATCGGTCAAGCCGTTTCGGAGGAGTATGGGAACGAAAACTGTGACACGAGAATTTTATATATAAGATATTATAATTATAAATCTTGTAATAGAATGAATCCTTTATGTATATCTAATCCTTTCGTAATCAATAACTTTGCACTACTTTAAGTTTATTATTAAAGTATTTAGATATTTATGTATTAAAGAATATTGTTGACTACTCTGTGACCTAACATATTTATGTGGCCGACTGTACTAAACTTGAACTTTATGTATAGTCACGATACAGGTAACCATGGCTATAATGGTCAAAGGATACGTGAGTCACGCAGGTGAACAACATTTGTTACCTAGTCGTGATAAAGAAGACAGAATGAAAACTACGTCTTAGGTATATATAAAATTCTCGTGTCACAATGTTGTTACCATACTCCTCCGTAACGGCTTTACCGATTATTATGAAATTTTATATGCATATTCAGTAGATCTAAGAATCAGCTACTTTCTATTTTTTATACCTCTAAGTGATAAGGGTTGTCCACCCCTAAAATTTTTGATATATTTTTTTAAAAAATATCATAAATTTTAGGGCATTAAAAACATATACAACTCTAATTTTCGCCCTTCTACCATAAATCCTATTTTTTAATAGAGATTTTAATATATATGACAAAACAATGTTTGCGGGGTCAGCTAGTAACCTATTAGATTTATATATTGTGCAGTACTTTAGAGCGTCATTGCCCAGTGGTTTACTTATAGAATAGAATAGAATAGAATAGAATAGAATAGAAAATCATTTATTCAAATAAACTTACATTGAAGCACTTTTGAATAGTCATAACATTTTTTTTTTTTTTTTTAATCTACCGCTCATTCGGAATGCTGTCTCATCACAAGAAGAACAAGCAAGAAACTTGTGTGTTGCTCTTTTAAATAATTTATTCTTACTTACAATTTAAGTTTAAGTGTGTGAATACAAACCACCGATTAGCACTAATTCAATTAAATACTCAAAAAGAAAAAAATATTGAATACATAACCAACTGGTTAAACAATTAATAAGAGGAAATCAGTCATAGTGATTAGAGCAGACCAGTCCCTACAAGCAGCACCCGTTCACGAGTATGACGGATGAGCCAGCCATCACTGCGCTCGACCATATTTTAGGGAGCCCAATGACCCGGCCCACCACGCCGCCACAAGTCTGGACATTTTAGTGAGCATGACTACTCAAAACACCAGACCACGTCATAGCTACTCACAATTGCCATCTGATGTTTATAGTATTCACATTTCACATAAGAATGCATGCGGCAATTAATACAAAACCCGCTACGCTTTCATATTTCTAAAATAATTGAATCAAGAAAGCAATGAGATAAACAAATTATAACGTTGTATGCTAATAAACTAATTATTTACTTGATATGTTGTCTTCTATGAATTCGTCTATCCTGTAATAGGCTTTCTTACATAAAAATTGTTTAATATAAGATTTGAATTGCCTCTCTGTCAGATTTAGTGCAGATTCTGGCAGTTTATTATAAAATCTTACGCAATTACCATAGAATGAATTACTGACTTTGTGCAGGCGGCATTTAGGTAAAATTAGCTTATTTTTATTGCGTAAGTTTCTATTTGTACAGTCTTTAAGTTTTCTAAAACTGTCTAAATTCTTCCGTGTATACATGATATTCTCATAAATGTATTGTGAAGTAACGGTGAGGATATTTGAATCTTTAAAACACTGACGTAATGACTCTCTTGAACCCATACCATAAATAGAACGTATGGCTCTCTTTTGTAAAATAAATATAGTATTTATATCGGCTGCTTTACCCCATAGTAGTATACCATATGACATAATGCTATGGAAATAACTAAAGTATACAAGTTTAGCCGTCGCCACGTCTGTTAATTGCCTAATTCTTCTAATTGCATATGCAGCTGAACTGAGTCTATTGGCCAATTTTGAAATATGGGGCCCCCATTGTAATTTCGAGTCCACTGTTATACCTAAAAAAACTGTATCATTAACAAAATTTACTATTTCGTCATTAAGCAATAACTGTGTATTTATTGGTCTTACATTAGGAAGTGTAAATTTTATACACTTTGTTTTGCTGGAATTTAATAATAGGTTATTACATGTAAACCAATTTAATATAGCAGACATAGCACAATTTACATCGTCTAATTGATTAGTTTGACGTCCAATTTTAAACACTAACGAAGTATCATCCGCAAACAGCACTATATCTGCAATTTTCTCTACCATAAAGGGAAGGTCATTTATGTAAATTAAAAAGAGAAAGGGGCCTAAGATTGACCCTTGTGGAACGCCCATTCCAATATTAGCTCCCTTAGATTTTATACCGTCAATATCTACAGTTTGGACCCTATCCTCTAAATAAGTTCTCATTAATTTTAGATCATTATCTTTTATACCATAATGTTCGAGCTTGTACAAAAGTGTTTTATGATCCACGCAATCAAATGCCTTTGATAGGTCACAAAAAACTCCGAGTGCATCCTGTGACTTCTCCCATGATTGGAAAATATGTGTTATCAGCGCTACACCTGCGTCAGTGGTAGACTTGCCGGCGGTGAAACCATATTGTTGACTGTGAAGCAGTCGGTTATCCCTGAAGTGTTGTAACATTTGATTTAACATTATCTTTTCAAACACCTTACTTAGAACTGGCAAAATAGATATAGGTCTATAGTTCCCTGGCTCAAATTTATCTCCTGATTTAAATAGTGGGATTAATTTGCTAAATTTCATTAATTGTGGAAAAGTCCCATTATCAATACATTTATTAAAAATAGTAGCTAGATATGGAGCAACAATATCTATGAAAGAACTAACTACTTTTACAGACATGCCCCAAAGGTCTTCTGTATTTTTTAAATTTAGATGTTTGAATATTTTTATGATATGAACGGGGCTAACATGTGCAAATTTAAATCTTAAAGCACAACAACCGATATTAGACTCTAGTAATATTTTTGCTCGAGATGGAGATGAGTCCAGAGAAGATGTAATATTAATCGGAATATTAGCAAAAAAATCTTCAAAAACATTAACTACATCTTTTGTTGCTGTTATTAATTTATTATCATAATTTAATGCAAATTGATTATAGGCTAATTTAGATCTTCCGGTTTCTTTATTTATAATGCCCCAGATGGTTTTAATTTTGTCAGAAGACTGGTTAATTTGTTTATTAATATAATTAGATTTAGCCGTAATACAAACTTTTTTAAAAATTTTTGAATAATTTTTCACATAAGTGGTGAATTTGTCATCAAATCGATATTTTTTTTGATCGTATAAATCAAACAAAATATTTCTACTTTTAAGTATACCTACTGTTGCCCATTCCGTGAATTTAGATTTAACATAAACTTCTTTTTTCTTGAAAAATTGTTCATATTCTCCTGATAGAATAGTAATTAGCTTGGTGTAAAGATAATCAGGATTATTACTATATTGTAACAGCAAATCCAATTTATTTTTAATCGCGCTTTTGTATTTGTTAATATTGTAAACATTTATTTGTCTTTTTGATTTTTTATTATTGTTGACTTTATTGATCTGACTGTTAAACTTAACAACTTGACCACAGTGATCTGAAGGAAGTTTATTTATTATGAATTTTTCTGTATACTCACAGTTACAAAAAACATTGTCAAGACAAGTAGCAGACGTGGCAGTTACACGAGTGGGTTCATGAAAGACATGACTTAAATCAAATGACTGAAATAAACTAATAATTTTTGTACATGTGGGTGTGTTACAAAGAATATCAACGTTAAAATCTCCACATACAATAATTTTTTTAAGACTATTAAATATTTTTTTTAAAATAAAAAACAGACACTTAGACAAGCTAAAAAGCAATGCCGGTATAAGCCAGCTGGAGGCTTCAAGCAAATTCATGATAACATATGAATAATAATAAAAATTAATAGGAAACATAAATATAAATTGTCTGAATGTTCACGGCACTGATGATGGCAATCTGTCACGGTATCGCTGATACACCACACCCTTCGGCCAGTAGTCGTCCTTTATAAAGGTGGTTAGTATGTTGGTGGGAACTCGGGCCACAAAACTCGTGTTATGGTTCGATCCCAGCTGCGTCATCCTCAATGTCAGGTTACTCCTGGTCTCTATGTACTCTACAATGTCCTGCTCTTTTTAATTGATTAATGATTCATGAAGACAATTATTTATTATGAATTCCTTCTTAACGCCTGCTTACGTTATTTTTATTTCAGGTTGTTAGTGCGCAGGAGATACCTCGGGCGCGATTGAATGATGGCAATATGATACCAATTTTAGCTTTAGGCACATATGGTTCAGTGAGTATAAATTTATTTTATTTCTGGAACTGTCGATCTTAACTAACGGAAATAAATACATGGCAATAGTTGTTCATGCACAGGATTTTCATTTAATGCTACACATAGATAGACCAAGTTTATTTACATTGAATATATATATATATAGTCACAGATAACATAATATTACATACAGATACCCCATCCCATACAAGAAAATGGTTCCTTCCTAACTCGGGCTATTCTTCGGGCTATTTTATTTCGCCACCGTAGCCGCTAAATGTCGCTAGATCTGAAGCAGTTCGGATTACTAGTGGGTGCTTAGTAACAAAGCATGAAAATAGATGGCAGTCAATTCAGTCTACATGACATCTGTTTTGCAAAGATATGTATATAATAGATATGTAGGTAACTGTATCGTGTACCTCATTAGGGACGATTCAAGATTCAATGTAAATGTGTAGGTATAATATCGTTAGCCGACACTCTGCAGATATGGCTTATGTGCCAATGTATATACCTATTATGTTATGGTTTATTTTACATTCCATGCCTATTTTTTTTATATGTTGTAACGCGTCTGCGCTATACGTATAGCCTGATTTTGATACGTTTATACTCGTACGTATCAAAATCGGGCTATACGATTTTTTATTTCAATCGTTATATGTATGAGACTGATTTTAGCTACAATTAATTTACTGGTATATACCTCATGTATTCTACGATGTACCCCTCTTTTACCTAATGAGAATTCCGCTATATCTTATATATAAATTTTGTATCACAGTGTTAGTTGCCATATTTCTCCCACATTTTGATGAAATTTGATATGTATACTTGCCAGGTCTGAGGTAGGGTTGCTATTTTTTAAGTAAGTAAGGGTAGGCCACCCATAAGTCATAGGGGTGGCCTACCCCGAAAAAATATTTTTTTGTATTATGGACAATTTTTTATTTATTTATAATGTTACATTGAAAATACATACACGCCTAAATTTTCACCCGTCTTTCACCAACCCCTATTTTTAATAGCGATATTCTTACAAATATTATAAATGCTAAAGTAACTCAGTCTGTCTGTTTGTCTCGCTTTCACGCCAAAACTACTGAACTGATTTAATTGAAATTTGGTAGACAGATAATGTAGACCCTGAGAAAGGCTACTTTTTAATGCGAAAAAGTATTGAAAGGGGAAATGAAAGGCTATATGAGGATATCGTAATTTTTAAAGTCAGATCTTGTAAGATTAAGTGAACAGGGTCGGTCTAGGTTTTTCATTATTAGAAATGTGTAACGGGGTAACACGTTATTTAGTGCGAAATTGTGTATATTACAATAAAATTTAACGAGAAAATATTATAATGATGTCACTGGGACACTCATTGCCTTACTACTATATCGTCCGTTAGTCGCGAACTTTCTGGAAACACGAGAGGCGCGCTCCTATTGGTTAGTAGATGAGGTAGACGAGTCTCACGGCGCCGCAGCGTAAGTACTTACTATACATACGTAGTATACATATGGGTGTTACAAATGTTTTTATTACGAGTAATATTACTCTGTTATCTAAGCAAGTAATGTGTGCTTATTTTGAACTTGATAACATTCTGAATTACTCGTATATCTTTCAATATCTTTAGCGGTATAAACCAGGTTATGTACTACTACTAGTATTGTTAGTGAGGGATAAAGTTGATGAACAAAAATAAAACAATATTCGTATTAAAAATATATTCATCTAATATTTTTGGCATTATTTTTAAGTTTCTTCCAAATACAAGGGGTCTGACATGGGGTGTTATGTACCTACATTAAAAGATACTTTTTGAAATGTATGAAATTTTTTTTTGAAATTATGAAACTTTGTATGAAAAAATGTATGAAAGAAACGTATTGTATGAAATTTTTGAAATGTATGAAATGTATGTACCTACATTAAAATATAATATTTGAAATGTATGAGATGTATGAAAGAAATGTATGTACCTACATAAAAAGTTAATTTTTGAAATGTATGAAATGTATGAAAGAAATGTATGTACCTACATTAGAAGATAATTTTTGACATGTATGAAATGTACGTACCTACATTAAAATATAATTTTTGAAATGTATGAGATGTATGAAAAAAATGTATGTACCTACATAAAAAGTTCATTTTTGAAATGTATGAAATGTATGAAAGAAATGTATGTACCTACATTAAAAGATAATTTTTGACATGTATGAAATGTATGAAAGAAATGTATGTAGCTACATTAAAAGATAATTTTTGACATGTATGAAATGTATGAAAGAAATGTATGTACCTACATTACAATATAATTTTTGAAATGTATGAAAGTAATGTATGTACCTACATTAAAAGATAATTTTTGACATGTATGAAATGTATGTACCTACATAAAAAGTTCATTTTTGAAATGTATGTACCTACATTAGAAGATAATTTTTGACATGTATGAAATGTATGTACCTACATTAAAATATAATTTTTGAAATGTATGAGATGTATGAAAGAAATGTATGTACCTACATAAAAAGTTCATTTTTGAAATGTATGAAATGGATGAAAGAAATGTATGTACCTACATTAAAATATAATTTTTGAAATGTATGCACCGTACAATAACATCATACCACAGAGTCATACGCAAGATAAAAACAAACTGCTATGATATTAATGAGAAAGGAAAATCAACTTTATGGTATTCGAGTTAGGGTCGATTTCTCTCTTTTTTTTAAATACTATTTTAATCTTACCAGTTGCCAGTATTCGAAGACAGCTACGATTCGTACTCGATATTTTAAATTATTATGTAATCGATTTTTCAGTACAAATGTAAATAACCAACGACATTAATAATGTACTACTATATTCCGTTCTTTGAAACGGAACACTGCTATAATACAAAATAATGAAAATTTACTGTTCACAACGACTCATTAAAAGCATCATCGAATAATGCGCTGTAATAAAATCCTGTTATCGATTATTCAAAAAAATCGATAATACATGTATTTATTTTTAATATGACAACACTTCATACATAAGTATTATTGGAAATAGTATTACTTGCTTGTTCGACTATTTTTAATTTAGTTAAAAATTAATTTACAATAATAATATATTAAGTGCTTATTATTGGAAAATATAAAAAAGACATTTAATTAGGCCGATACAAATGACGACAATGCCATCTATGAAAGCATTTTGAAAACATTGAGCCCCGTATTAGCACTGATTAAAGTGTAATTAAGTACTGGAAAATAACAAAATGAGTAAATATATGAAAATTACTTTTCTAAACGCATTATTTCATTTTAACATGTATATATAACTTTTTATAAATTGATTAAACATTTTTGAAAACACAGTTTTGTTTTTTAAAACGTTTGCAAAACTATGAAGAATTCCATCGATACCAATCACGCCATCTATATGCAACTTTTAGCAATAATAATGGCTACTTCCTCATTGAGTGCCACTGATATAGTATACATAAATATTTTATGTAAATAAACTTGCTTGTCTTTCTTTTTATAAGCATAAAAAGAAAGAAATTCAGTTGAGTTTCTTTCTAGTTCTTCTCAATCGAAACTGTATACTGAACTAGTCGGTAGGAAACAGATATTAATACAAAAAATATGACGATCAAATAAAGTTAAAATGTTCCACACGAATAAATAATTTTTGATCAATTTTTACAAATATGTTTTATAGTTTCCTATTTAACATGCGAGTGTATTTTAAAGGTATTTTTTAATAATATTTGGTATCGTATTTTAATTGACATGTATTACGATTCTTGCTTCAATAAAATTAATTTTAATTTCATAGGCATAAAACCCTTTTTTATAATAAAATCTCTAACATCATTTTACTATTGATTCCAGGATGAAGATCGTGCAAAACTACGGCAAGCAGTCAATGATGCTGTTGAACTCGGGTACAGACACATTGACACCGCTGCGTACTATAAAAATGAGGAACAAATCGGTGAGGGTATCCGTGACGTCATTCAGAAAGGTCTCGTGACGAGAGAAGACCTGTTCATCACCACAAAGGTTCATATTCATTTATTTATCCAAAACCACATAAATTGTATAGAATACTATAACTTATACAGTAAAACTTTGTCAACGACATAGTAGCAACTTAAGCAGTAAATCTCGTTATGTCAGCTAGCATAGTGCAATAGGACAACTGAAGTCTTTATGGTCATCATTATAATAGTCATCTACTTACTATTCCAGTAACACTTATTCAATAAAAATGTCCTCGAAATGTTTATAAACAATGTAAAAGTGTAAATAGTTTTTAAATCCAATTTTATATAGTGACATAATCTGAAACTAATTTGATCCTAGAGTTTATATGATCAATAATGACCATCTTATAATATATAGCTATAGATTTGAAACATTTTAAGTGTGTTTTCTTCTCCAAAATTTTATTTAAATTATATAAATAACCGGCTTTTAAATTTCCACACAGGCACATATAAACCTCTAAACTAAACAAGCGAGTTTGAACGTACGGGGGACTGGGGGTAAAAGACATATCGTTTTATATATGAAATATTATTTTATACATATAGTCATAATATGAATGAACAGACATAGTAATGAATAAAATTATTGTATTGAGCGTAGATTGAACCTTCCGAAAATAAGGTAGTGGGCTAAACCGTAGCGAGTTGTCGAAGTTGTCAAATTGTAGATCAGTATAGTACAATTTTCAATTAGTTCGTAGTGCATGAAGAATCAGCGTGTCTATAAGTGGGACTAACGATAAAACTTCTCATTCACATTATTATATTACATTTTACTACTATACCGCAACATAGGCTTCCCCCTCCGATCAATCTCCCGTCCAAATCAAACGGGAATCGAAATTACTACGAGCCCGAGACCCGAGCCGAGGATCGAACCCTTAGTGGTTCCCTCAGATTAAAGTCAGGCGGGAGTTGGCCTTTAGCCGCTTACTTATTGTTGAATACAACTATGAAAGTCTGCTAGTGACTAAAACATAATGATAATACAGAAGGTTCAATACTATATTTTAAAACAAGTTTACACTATGGTTTATGAGAATAACTGAGAACTCTGAATACCTTAACGAATGAATTAATAATAGATATATGACTACGGCACCAAATATAAACTATAAATACATCCAAATAAATTCGCTGGGAAACTAACATTATTCAAAAAACGTGCGTCAATTACGTGTGGCACTTATCCATAATCTGAAGAGACCTAATTTTTTTTATTATATGTTCTCAGCTGTGGAACGACAGACACGCGTGCGAGCAAGTGGTGCCTGCCCTAAACGAGTCCCTCAGTAAACTTGGTTTGGAATACATAGACCTATATCTTATTCATAGTCCTGGATCACAAAGGGTACGTGACGCTTCCTTCTTTCTCTCTCTTTCTTTGTTTCATTCTTACGATGACTCAATATGTATTAAACTATTACCAAATATTCAGCGCGCTGTAAATTTCTCATCTTTATTTCTCCAATTCCAGGAAGATGGAAGTTTTGATTACATCGATTATTTAGAAACATGGATCGGTATGCAAGAAGCCAAGAAACTTGGCTTGGCGAAGTCCATAGGAGTATCGAACTTCAATAACGAGCAGATCAAGCGAATTATTGATAATTGTGAAATAGTACCGGCCGTGAATCAAATTGAAGTAAGTATATTTTTTTTTTATAATTGACGGCCTAGCTGGTTTATCGGTTTAGCACATCGCTTTACTTTCGATGATAGTGTGTTCGATTCCTTGCACCATACAAAGATTTGCATTCATGAGATTGACTGGCTATTTTATGTATGTACATATGTATGTATGTATATTACGTATGTACATATGTACAAAAAAATATGTGTCAGATTAGTTGTGTAGTACCCATAACACAAGCTCTTAGCTTAGCTTGGCTTAGGGTTAGTGTCACTGTTAAAAATATATATTTTCATTTAATATTAAAATATATTATTTTTAATATCATTGTAGTTATAAAAATGTATTTAGTGTAATTTTTCTCTTTTTTGTATAATGAAAATAATAATTTTATTTGTATAGAATAATTTAATTCTATCTATCTGTCTAAAAAGTCAAAATATTTTTTTATTTATTTAAGTAACACAATTTTTTTTTGTTAATACCTCTAAGCATAAAAATGTCCTTATTATCATATGAAAAATACAGTAGATTTCAGACAATAAAAGAAAAGCAATTTCTCACACAGGTACATCCAGCTTTGACGCAGGAAAAACTGGTTCCGTTCTGTCACAATTGGGGTATCAATGTGATGGCGTACAGCCCGTTTGGGTTCCTGGTATCGAGGGACGCTACCGATGCTCCACCCCCTAGGATTGATGACCCCATACTTGAAAACATCGCCAATAAATATGGAAAGAGCACCAGTCAAGTGGTGTTAAGATATTTGGTAAGTTATTGTAGTTTAAAAAGAAGCTATAGTAAAAAATAGAAACAATCTTATAATGTTATATCTTTGCTTGGATGCTTAATAATATATTTGTCTAAAATATTTTCATATACAGATCGACAGGGGAACGATTCCGGTACCAAAATCGACTAATAAGAGTCGTCTGGCCAAGAATATAGACGTGTTTGACTTTCAACTTACTCCAGAGGAGATAAACACCATAAACAAATTCAACAAGAACAGAAGAGTGATCGACACTAGCTACTGGAAGGATCATCCTCATTATCCTTTCAATATAGATTAAAATGACAAAGTAACTAGTTGTCTTTTGTTTCCATAGGTATATTTTAAGGACTATAAAATATATCACTTTAAATAAATCTACTTGTTTTATTATATAAATTTATATCAGAATATAAGTATATAAATACTGACGGCTTCAGTAGTCTAGCGGTTTAGCTCACCGCCTTACTTCCGATGGTCGCGGGTTCGATTCCTCGCACGGCACAAACATTTGCATTCATGAGTATGATTGTTTATATCGGTCTAGGTGTTTTCTATGTATAATATGCATGTATTTGCAAATGTATGTATCAGTTATCTAGTATCTATGACAAAAGCTTTAGCTAGTTTAAATTGGGACTAGATGGCGCTGTGTTAATTGTTCTGGGATTATTTATTTGTTATTTATATTTGTGGGAGTTAGGGTGACATTACCAGTAAAGTGCACAGCAAAGGAAAAAGTATTTTATTAAAGAAATCTAATAAATTAGGAAATTAATTTAATTTAGATAAAGCTGAACCCGAGATAACAGAGTCGTGGTATACAGAATAAAAATATTTAATATTTTTTTTATTTGTAAACCGGTTGGAATGAAATAAATATTTAAGTGAAGCTTTACTATAGTACATAGTGAAAACGGGATTCTATTTAACCTACTTCTGAATCAATACAAAAGTATAGACAGACAGAAATTCTAGCAATCATTATTTTGGGTTCTATTTTACGCAATATCTCAGTAATATCAAATTCCAGTAATTTTTCTCATACATTTTTCACGTTTTACAGCGATCAGTTATATTTTTATTATATGTATAAGTATTATCAATCATCTCAATCCGAAGCAGAACATAACCTTTGAAGTTTGAATAGGTATTGTAAAAAAATATTAATTATTTAATAGCGTTTAATAGTAAGTAGTGGTGTAGAAATAATTACAAAAGATTAATATTTCTTAAAATTATTTATTTGAATTTAGAACCGTTCCAAATCTCCCGCGCCGCATAGATATCACTGCAGTCAATAAAATTAAAATAATAAAACATAGTCTATATTTAAATAATATAGAGCTTAAAACTAAAACAAATAAAAAGTTGTCTTTGTCACAAAAAAAAAATATAGATCGCAACGTAAAGAGTATTCAATATTATTTTACTGTATATAAAATCTATATTATTAATACTATCAAAATAATCATATTACTGTTACCCTAATATCAATTTTACCATACAATGTTAATAATATTTTGCTTTAAATATATTCTAATCTTATATAAGGCACATTCAATCGAATCCAAAGAAGGATTCATATAAATATCCCTATACACGTAACTGTGGATTTTTGATACACTTCATTTATTATTGTCATCTGTATTAAGTATAGATTATATTAAAAGATCAGAGAGATTCTATTTTCAAACATTCTTGAAAATAGAGATTACATAATTGAACTTGTATTTTTATTTAACGAGTTCAGAAGGGATATAGATTATATATATTGTGATTATAATAAAAAATCCCAAAGCTAGTTACTTAATAATTAAATGTATATAAATAATTATGTGTACATTTATTAACCTCTTTTGTTTCTATGCTTATCCTTGGCTGTTAATTTAGATACCAGGCGTGCGTCTTTAGGAACAAAATATTTTTTGCATGAATCCGTGTAACTATATTATGTTCGCGGCACAGAGTACTTGCAAGTAATTGTTTGCATAGATTAATTTTGTATGTTTTATTCGCATTTGGAATCCCGCCTCAATTAAAATTATTTAACATTAATTTTTAATTCATGTGTGATACTGTTCAAACATTTTTTTATGAAAACGTTACAGGTTATATTTTTGTTTAATAATAGGAATATTACTAACGAAGAGCTCAGATATTTTTATACAAAAACATGTAAATATATACCTATATGCTGCCTGCATAATTGTCTAATTAATATTCAACACTATAAAACACGGTTTCATACAATACTTATATTGTTATAGTATCGCAAATTGATAGACACTAGTATTTATATATTACCTAAGGTTAGGTCAATATCTAATATATTATGGTCTTTCGTTGCATTGCAGAATATTTCATTGCGACGTGTCAGTCACATATTCCTCACTCAGGATTTGTGGACTAAAATTACGTAACTGACAAACTGTCCTAGACAAATTGATGAAGTTTGAATATTTATTACGTTTCCATATTTATATTTAAATAGTTAAACACTTTTTATAAGTTATAAATATAACTCAATGCATTAAACTAAAGTAATTTTTTTATATTAAATAACATTTTGTATGAAGAATTTAATTTTATTTAGAATATTCCATTTAGTTTCTAAGAAATAAAATATTCAGTTTTCTCAATAAGGACAACTCATACAGCGCCATCTAGTCTCAAGGAAAGCAGAGCTTGTTTGATGGTTACTAGGAAACTGATACAAATACTTAAATATATTCATAACATACATAGAAAACATAACCAGACCAATACAAACAATTGTACTCAAGAATACAAAATGTTTGCATCGTGTGAAGAATCAAACCCACCACCACCGGAAGTAAAGCGGTGCGCTAAACTGCTAAACTACCGAGGTTGTCAAAAAATTGTAATAAAATGTTTTATGAATACCTAATATTATAAACTTTCGGCTTGATCGATATGACGAATTATAAACAATTGTTTTCGGAATGTACGGTCGTATAGACTTAATTATTATGAGTACATTTTTAATTAACATTAATTTCAACCTAATTTATAAAAGTAATAGAATCTAAATCAGTATCACAATATGAGCCGAGTAGACTTTGTGGTCAGTCGATCGTGAGTTGCCTGAACGAGCCGTCTATCCCAAATAGTTCGTCGTAGTTGGTCGGCCGGCCCGGTCGCAGAGATTCGTTTGCTTTCACGGACTCCTGTGCAGCGAACCAATCACGATATTCTTTCAGCTTGCAAGTCCATTGTTCTGTAATTAAAAAACAATAAATTATATTATTATTGTTATTGAACTTATATCACTTTTGAAAAGCTGTATTTATGTAACTAATTATATTTTGGTGCATGTAATTTTCAGGATGTATGATGATAATATTTGAACATTCAAACGGTAAAGTTAAAAAACTATACAAAAAGTATACATATACCATCCTTATTTATATATAATTCTTCTGTATATATGTTCACCACCTAATTCTTCCTAAACAGATGAATCGATTTCGATGAAATTTTGTGTTCATATATTTAGTGGTGTACTTAGCGGTTCAGCGCTGTTTTTCTAGGTAGAATGACATATGCCAATTCTGCTAGTATGTATATAATAGAGGAAGCATATTCCTAATTTTTGTTACAATATATGCATATAAATAAAATTGATGTGTAATTTCAAATTAACAGCTTTTCACTAAATACGTATGAAATATCTGTCTTTTTTTTAGATTTAACGAGATTTTCACTTGCAGATAGCTAATGTTATGAGGTTAATTTGTTGTTGGTTAATGTTATAACTTTATAAGTAACGTAGGATACTTATATTTATTTTAATGAATAAAAAAAAAATTCACTCGGATCAAGTTGCGGGTAACAGCTAGTATCATAATATGATAACTTTACCATGTATATCGCCCATGGTGCTACAAGTGCCGCCGTACTCTGCAGGCAGCATATCTTGCGGCACATACTTGTATAGATCCTTCACATCTTTGTGGATGAATATCTGAAATTAATGAATTGAACATAATTATTATATTCAAAGTAAATAAGTATAAGAACTTGAATAATATAGTTTTAATGTACACTTAGGTAAGAGTTGACAACGTCCTGTTTTCCCAGGACATGTCCTAGTTGTTGAAGTGTCCTGAGAAGTCCTGAATGGTTATTTGGCAGCGTTCTGGATTTTTTAAATATTTGCGCCTCTTATTTACTGATTTTAAACAGTATAATTATGTCAAATACTTATTATTAAAAACCTCATTATATTAAATACTTGAATTTTACTACATATTAATATAACTATTGCAACACTATTACTGCATTATGTTTTTAAACTGGAGAGTCCTGGTTTTTTTAACTTAAAATACTGTTTTTTTATATTTGGGTTTGCAACCCTAACTAAGGTATACCCAATTCTATATTCAATTATAGCCTTAAAAATTCTGCCCTCTGAATATCATACACACTTGACAATAAAATAAATATACGGTAGTACAGATGCCGTTGACTTTGAACAAACACTGGTATACAAAAATCTCTTCCTTCAAATCAAAGGAAATCAAATATTAAAATTTTGCCATTACGTCAGAATGTATTTCAATTCTATATGTGTAGAGATCATACCGAGTTATAAGAATAATTAATTAATGTTTAAAATTAATACTTAAAATCCAGAAACAGAATTGGACTTTTCTTAAAACGAAATCTTCGATAACAGAAATAGTATTTTAGTTTTTAAAGATAAAGTAGAGTTTTTATAATATAAACAACTTACCCGTTTCCTGATTTTTTCTTTGAGGAATGGTTTTACAAAGTTCAGGAATGTCTCTACTATGGGCGATGTGTTTACAATATGGACCTCCTTCAATTTTACAGGATACGCCTCCTAAGAATACAAAATCAAGTTAAATATCATATAATCGAATATCTAATACATTCATAAAAATCTCGTGGCATAGACTGCATTTAGACTTTCATTTTGGCCGTTGTAGGCATATATTTGGTAGATCTGGGAATAGGTATTTTTTTATACAATTAGGTGATAAGTCTAAGTATAAAATCCTACCTAATAAATAATTTATACAACTAAACAACGTATGACGGCCAGCTAGTTATAATATTATATTATAAAGAACTTTAAAAAAGAATCCAAGAAGCGGTAGTCTCGCTTCTGCTACGTTAGTTCTGAATATACTCTGCGAAATATGGGCCTGTCAAGTATACGCAATACCCTAAGGTACTTGACTAAAGCATCGGTGACGGTATGTATTATAAAAACCTCCCTTTTTAACTTCGGTTTTTTAACGTATCATATAAAATATGTAATCAATTTTTAAAAAAGAACAGCTCCATTGTTAGTTGGTAACATGTGCAGCATCAGGGGCTAGTATTATATTAATGTGATAAATTTTATAAGTTGTAAACCAACCTGTACACAGATCATGAACTTTTTAATGGTAGAAGGGGACAATTTAGCCAACAAACTGGGTCCCAGCACGGCAGCATCCAGTACATACACATCTCCGGAGACTCCTTCCAATTCCTCCAATAGCCGAATGTCACCAATCATCAAAGCTAGTTTAAGAGTGTCTGTTATTTCTTGAGAGTCTAAGTTAGGGTGACTACCTGAAAATAAAAATTAACACATATATAATAACATTATGCTACGGTTACATTCAGACGCTTCCCCTGCCACCCGCGCTGCCGGAAATATTGCTGGGCGACAACCGAGTGACCGGGCTGAATGTAATCACACGCTGCCACTCGCTCTGCCAGTCCTTTGACTCGCGCACGAATAACCGACAAATGAGGAAGCGCCGGGCAGTGCGAGTGGCAGCGTCAATGGCATGGGAAGTATCGTGTTTACACACTCGCGCAGCTCACTTACGTTCTAACTTCCGTGCCCACTCGGGCTGAGCGTAAATTGGGCTTAAAGAGTAGCAGACGATTTGAATATGGTTTATAGACAGATAAGCTCCAAATCGCTAATCATAATTTAGGACGACCTACAGTTACTGGCTACATAGAGCGACGAAATACTGCAGTTACTACCGACTACCCTCCCTGTAGTAGGTAATAAGATAATGCGAAGGCCTGGAGTTCACGCTTTATGAAGTGTCTAAGGGCAGGCCTATTTTCAACAGTCAACTACGGTAAGGTGATGATGTTGATTCATTTTTTAGTAATGAAATTACCATAACGTTTCAACGGTCATTATCGTGACTAAAATGAAGAGCAGCGGATATGGTAGATTATTCTGTTACGCAGTTATATTTCTCTACCTTAATATTTAATCTATAACAATATTAGATTATGATTAATAGTACAGTATAATATCAATATATATAGAATAGAAATAAATTAGAATGGAATCCATTCGCAGAAATGGACCGAAATTATCTCATATTACATATCAGATATGCGATGCATTTCGATATTGTGCTAGACCAAAGCGAAGATGGAGTCGTTGATTTAGATCACTTTCGTGGTAATATAAAGGATTACCAATTTTAGGATAGTGTGGATAGCTATCTAGAAGTGGGCCACAAACTGTGCTATAAAAATGGATATCCACTTGTGTTACTTTTTATCCTTTTAAAAAACCAGTTTTCTTAATTTAAAGAAGTCAATCTAGAAAGTGATTTTACCTTGTACACACTACAGGAAATGGGCATTTCCTTATTGCATAAATCCCTTGATCTTTACTCAAATGAGCGCACCTCTATAGCAAATGACATTTTTCAAAAAGAAACACGACGTAGTGTGAATGCAACGGAACCAGTTTGGCAAGCTGAGCCTACCGGTACTATACGTAGATGGCCATAGGAGAGTACAATGACCTATGTTGCACTTTCTGCAGATAGTTTTTATTTCTCACCTATTTTTGTCTCCAAGCTGTATGCTTCTTCTATTTCTTTTATTAGTATTTTCATGATGGTAAACGTCTGGATAGCAATTTTTACCGTCAAACAGTAAGTTTTACACTATATAACTTGCATAGTGATTAATACTTACCGTTTGACGGTAATTCCGCTTTTAAGCGAGAAATATAGAAGGATCTAGAGAATATAGAGGACAAATAAGAAGAATAGAAGGATCTTAGTCCTCAAGAATATATGAGAGATATCTAGAGACTCATTCATGACGCTGTTTATGTAAATAAAAAAATATTTATACGGTAAAAAGTATGAAAATATCAAACCTTTTTGTTACTATTGCGGTTAATTCTTAGTGAATTCGCCAAAAAGAGCGAAATGACCTAATTTCATCCTGTATCCATCTTTCTCTGGTGCCCCGCCAGCGCTTATCGTAAAGCGCAGACGGGTGCATCATGCCATTAAAAATGTAGATTCTTCAGTATCTAAACAAATGTACAATATTCTATATGTATAGAATACATACTGTGGTTCAAGAAGGTATAATTTAGAATTAATTATTAAAAAGAACCAACCTCTGCATATGGTGACTCTTCTTCCATTAGGCGTAATACCTGACAGTGGAGGACCTTGTCTGTGAAAAAACAAGTTTATATTACATAAACAATACATAATCCTGTCACGGTAATTTACGAAGCTATGATAGTCAATATTTATATTGAGAATCAATATTTATCATTCAATTATTTAATATATTTAATTAGCATTGCATTTAGAGTTTTGAGTTGTTATTAGAGAATTTTTATACATAATTAACTGCTTCTCTGGTGTGAACCATTATCGTATAATATGTAACTATATTCATCATATTATTGAAATTTATGAAAACCAAGAATTAAGCGGTAGCCACGCGACAAACGTCATTGAGTAGCAGTTAATAATGACCTAGTGTTAAGTGTTAAAAAGTAGCAACTAATTGTCGAGTTGCATAATTGCAAATGACAATTAAACAACAATGATTCGAAGTCATCCTGACCATGAAACAAAGGTCGAGGTATATGGATTGGATACATGAATATAAAGGTCACATGCATACATATATACGCTCACGACGGTAGTCCGAGATGGGGTTGACAGTGGCATTATCAACTGTTAATGCTGTGATGAACGAAGTAGTTAAATTTGAGCAACATTTAACAAGTTTATTAGGGTTAAGTCTTTCTGATTGATTGTCATTTCTTTCGCCGGAGAGTTAGTCAGAAATAAGTATTCATATAGGTACATATCAATAGAAAAAAATACGCTTTCATGTAATGTAATGACAAAATTGTGGTGTTTGAGATGGCACTAAATACCTACAGGACATAGTATCAGTTTAATATTAAATGTTGGCAATAATATACCCACATGAACATATTTCGATTATTCTTATAAATCTTTATTTTCATCCAGGCCCCTACAAAAATTACCAAGCTTAAAATTACTTTTTTTATAGATACAATCATAAGATAAACTTACATTTTGTTAGTGAGGATTTCATTAAGTTCTGGGCTTGTGGCGTCTCTGTTCGTAAAGAATTCTGGACAGGCCGCGCGCATTGTGAAGTACATATCCAGTTTTCTCTTGCACTTTTCCAGGGAAAAACTGCTACCTCTTAAGAACGTCATTAGTGCACGTTCCTCTGTGAAAACAAGAAAAAATAATCTGTATTATAACGAGAGAGAAACGGATTTTGTTATGAGGAAAGTACACTCTGGAAACTACTGCACTGATTCGAAAAAATATTTTTATAAAGTAGAATATTTCAAATAGTAACATAGACTTAGTAGACTTATAATGTGAAGATTTATTTTGTTACTCACGTAACTATTTACTTAAGTTAGCTTTGCCTTTTGGCAGCTTCTCTTCACATTCACAAAAGATTTTTAAAAATGTAAACCTGTACAACATTAATTTAAAAAGCAAACGAAAGTTTTGGCAAATTCTTCTTGTATTAAAAAGCTTGTATTAAAATTATTTGAATAAAGGCTATTTCTATTTCTACATTATAAAAGACTGTATGGGTATAACTATATCCCTTATTTCAGTAGCTTTAATAGCCAAGTTTCAGTTGTAATGTGTAATAACTTGAAAACTACTTTGGTGAGTTCTTGATCAAATTTATAAGAAACATCAGCTTTCAAATTAAAATATTATTATACTAGTTTACGTACAAAAAACTAAAAAGGTGAGTAACACACATAAACAAAAATACAATTGGATAATATAGTGGTAGTGTACTCTGCTATACTTTGAACAGACTTAAATTAAATCTCCTTTGAATGTATATTCTTTATTTATATATTTTGATTCTTATTATGTAAATATGAACATCCTCTTTTTTAAAGTCAGTTGAAAATGAAAGTAGTAAAGATAAGAGCGCTTCATACAACCTGCAAAGTAAAAGTGGCAATTCGAGTTTGTAATATTGTGTTTATTTACTTTGTGATGCGTCGTTGTAATGTGAGAATTGTATGATAGAAAGTGTTAGAGTGAAATAAGGAAAAGCCATAGCAAATGTTAACATATACATATGACAAAAACACTTTAATCTCAAATAGTACAGTCAGAGGTATTACAACTGTGGCTAACTTACATACATGTTTAGGGTACTTAGATTGAAGAACGTAAGCGGCTTTTTCTTGAAATAATTTATAGTTTGTATATTGGTGTTTCCATCGCTGGAAAATTTGTCAGAAATATAAATTGAATAGTTTTATGGTATCGGTCAAGATCGGTCTTAAATACATATTTCATAAGTAAGAAACAATAACCCGTTACAATATACGGAAATAATTTTAAACAATGATTACGATTGTGATGAGTACTTAGTATTTTTGTAACAAAGACTTACGACTCTTTGATAAATATATTGTGATCAATATTACAATCAATCACTAATTTGCCCAATCATACATGTTAGGTTCGCGTCATTTAGAACAAAACAATGACATGTATATTTATGTTATTTTTGTATGAATTTTATATTCACATTTCATACAATATGAATTTTATACAATGTGTTTGCACGGATTCATATAAAGACTTATATGAATCCGTGCATAGTGTCGACTCTTCAAAAGTATGTTCAATTGGTCAGTTGTCAATACCTCATCTTTTAATATTTGGAGATGAAAATATAGTGTTTATTGTACACAGAGGAAATTAAAAAAATATATTAGTTAGCCTTTTTCCCAGATATTACCAGACCATGTATATGTTATATGCTATGTTTCTAACAAACTCATATCACAATATATGTAGCATTATACCACTGACTTAATTAGGTAAAACTTACAAGTTCAATTAAAAAAATAGTTAAAAGTTTTAGATTTAACTGTAAATAGTTTACTGAGTAATTAATAGTTTAATTTAAAAAATAATGAAGCTTTATACATCATTTAATATGATAATTGTGGTGTAATATCATAAAAAAATATAAATTAAAAATTAATGATTTTTACTTTATCGTTTTATTTTTCAATTCTATTATATAGATAAAAATGGAGTTTATGTTATCTATAGTTAGTGCAAGATTGATACCTGAAGAGTGAATAGTCCTCAGGTTTAAGGATACAAAGACCGTTTTTTCCCGAATTATACTAATACTGTTGATCATTTCTAGTTGGTCATTTTTACTAGATAAAATAAAATTTGAATGATTCCACATTACTATCAACCGATTATTCTTATTCGATATGTATGAGTAGGTCAATGTCCTTCAGTACTCATTGGAGAATAATAAGAGTTGAGTGTAAACGCGATCAATTTTGTTTTCTCGACAGCTTTCACTTGTTAGCGTCCTTATTGAACTCGTTTCATATTTATTTTGTATAATTAAGTGTAGTGGGTAAGTACGGATATGGTTGTTTTAATGAATAATTATAGAATAGCCCACCCACTTGCGCTAACGGTGTACAGTGGAAGATGATGGGACGAGTATGAAGACGAGGTTTTTTTTATGATTACACCAGGCTTTTCCCTTCTCAACATAATTTTTGTGATGTATTAGGTGCTATATATATTACTTATATAATAAGTTCTTTCTTCTTTCACGTTTCTACATCTGCTTTTGTGCTCTATTAGTTGTTATATATATGTCATATTCTTTTTTCTTCCACGCTGCTACGTCTGTTTTTTTTAGATTAAAGGTAGCCTATGGTCCTCGTCGTTTTACAATTTAGTTTCATACCAAATTTGATTAAAAAGTGCAGCCGTTTAGTCATGAAATTGTTTCACAAAACATGAAACATGAAAAAACAGATATACATGCTTTTTCATTTTAAATATTAACATGTAAATACTGGCTACTGTATGCATACAGTGGTTGCAGTACATAATCAGACTATAGATTATTTTTAAAATTACCTTCAGATTTAACCGTATAAATGTAGAGAGAGGTGATCGGTCGTAAAATTTACTGTAAAACAACACGACATTCATGAACTGGTCAACTTTCACCAAGCACTAAAGTGGCATGCTAAAAATAAGTGACAAGTATATATGGTACCGAAAAAAAAGTAAGGCATGACCACAGATGAGATAATATGTAAGTTAACCTCGTTCAGGCCACAACAAAACTGACTTCAGTCTAAATTAAGAACTACTAGTCATTTCTAGATCAAATTTACGAGTATATATGACACACACTGATGAGACCCCCAGCTTTCAAATAGAAAAAAGATTAAACGTTGAAATAAATTTTAGATGACTAACAAAGTAATAAAATACAGTCGATTGTACTTGTTTCTCTTTCTTTGAAGTCGGTTGAAAATGACTGTATTTTACCAGGACCTTGACATTGATTTAAGATGAATACTGTATGTGCAAATAGTTATATTCTTTTGCAATACGGTTTAGCAACATCACTGTGCGGTTAAGTGAAATAGTCACGTGATTCAAGTCATGTTTGTTTTTTATTCGTGCTTTATGATCATTACCCGACTTCAACAGCGTAAGGTTATATTTGATAATTTTTTATCCATATCCACGTGTGTCATTTTGTATATTTAAAGAAATTGCTTTTTGGCAAACAGGAGTTTTATTTTCAATATACTCGACCTTCTGTGGTATAGCGGTTTAGTATACCGCTTTACTTCTGGTGGTCGCAGGTTCGATTCCTCGCACGGTGCAAACAGTTGTATTCATGAGTAAAATGGTATCACTCTGGGTGTTTTCTATTTATATTATGTATGTATTTAAAAAAAATAATAATATCTAAGTATTTATATCAGTTGTCTAGTACCCATAACACAAGTACTGCTTACTGTGGGACTAGATGGCACTGTGTTAATTGTCCAGGGATATTAATTATTTATGATTACTGGTATTATTTAAAAAAAATGCTGATAGGAGACACAACTGAATACATTTTTACTGATGTCTATCAATACAGATTCTCTTTGTATAGTGCATATCTAATTAATTTAATGCCTTCTTAAGTTGAGTATTGTTACTTTTGTTAATGCAATTTACTATTCCACATGCCTAAGAAGTGTTAGTACAAATTCGGCAATTAGACTTTTTTATGGATTATAATGGAATGGTGCACCCGCCTGCGCTAACGTAGGTATACGCTGGCGGGGCACCAGTACTAGATGATGAGATGAGATTTAGGTCAGGTCTGTCAGCTCATCGTGATGAAAATCATTTGGAATTAACCATGCTAGTTATTAGAGGGAACATTACTGTAATGTATTCAATGAAAGACAGACGATCACGGAATGAGGTTTATTAATGGCCAATGCAAAGAACTGTATGTGACGGTGTACAGAAAAAATATATTTATCTACTACCATCAATATTAATACATAACACTTTCCTCGCCTAATACTAGAACAATACGATAAATAAAAAGAAAGATCTGCTGATAAACACATAAATACAACCTTGTCACTGTATACTTAACTTAACTAGGTGTGAAAACATACCATGCATGCACAACTTTTTACGGGCATAATTCTTTTATAATAATTTAAATATGAGTGCACATACCTACACACTGATGACTCATGACAAATATGGCGGACATGTGCAATATTAAATAATTATATAAAATAAATGAAAGGTGGATATTATACAAAAACCGGTTGCATATAATACATATAGAACAATTATAAAGATGTACTTTTATTACAAATGACTTATTACGGCTTACTACACTGTGTAAAAGTTACTAATAAAAACTATAAAGTATAGGTACACTGAATAACAAACAATATAAAGTTATTCGTTATTTACGGGGTCTCAATTTCATGGCATAGGGAGTAGTGGGCTTAGTGACATTATTTATAACATTGTTTTTATCGTTTTGATTACCGATACGCTCTTTGCCATTGCCGTTGTCTGCCGACCGGGTATCCATACACGTCGCTGCCGACTGCGAACCTTGCGACTGATCGTCTGACCTAATGACCGGCTCGGGGTCCATTCCCGTCGCGAACGAATCGTTTCGACACTCGTTAGCGGTGTCTTCGTTTCCCTTCGTTACCTGCGGTCTCGACATGTCCGACGCTGCGCCTAAAGAATGTCGTGATTTTCTTAAAGGTTGTTTATTTATGATCTGATCTATATGTCTCCTGATAGGACGATCGTTGTTGTTCGTTTTGACTACATATGACACCGGGCCCGTTCGCTCCGTAACCACCCCCTCCTTCCACTTGACGCTCGGCGTGGAGTAATCCCTGACGTAGACGGCGTCGCCGGGGCTGGCTTCCCGCGCGGTGCCGCCGCGGCGTTCCTGTTGTGCGTGCTGCGCGGCGCGCACGAGGGCGCCCGTGTCGGGGCGCAGCAAGTCCAGGCGGCCGCGTAACCTGCGCCCGAAGAGCGCCACCGACGGCTCTTTTTTTGTGGTACAGTGTTCGGTATTTCTGTATGTAAATAGAAATTCAGACAATGCCCTGTCATAATCTTTGTTTTCTACTGTCGCTTTTTTGAGCACTCTCTTAACCGAACGAACCGCATTTTCTGCCGCTCCATTGCTGGATGGGTGATATGGCGCTACTAGAATACGTTTGATACCGTTTTTTTGTAGATAATTTAGGTACTCCGCAGAAGAAAACGGGGGCCGTTGTCACTGACCAAGCATTTTGGTATTCGAAGCGTGCAAATAGTCTTCTCAAAACTGATATTACTACTGGTGCGGAAGTAGTCGTTACCTTTTCTACTTCGATCCACTTGGAGTGAGCATCTACTATGACTAAGTAGTGACTGTTACGATATGGACCTAAGAAATCCAGATTAAGACGAACCCACGGTTGATCAGGCCAGTTCCAACAATGCAAAGGAGCTGCCGGCGGCGCGTCGCGGTGTGCGGCACAAGCGGCACAGTCGCGACAGGTGCTTTCTATGTGAGCATCTATTCCATCCCACCATAAGTAATTACGTGATAATTGTTTCATTTTAACTACGCCTATATGCCCGCTGTGCAACTCTTGTAACATCTGTGATTGGAGAGTGACTGGTATCACTACCCGATAACCCCAAACGAGACAATCGTGTTCGACAAATAAATTTTCTTTACGATTAAAATATGGTTTTTCGTTTTCATTTTGTAGTCGATCTGGCCACCCGAATTTAATATAACCGATTATTTTGTTTAACAAAAAATCCTTTTTTGTTGCCTCTTTTATTTCATGAAAAGTAATAGGTAATTGATCTTCAATAAAATAAAAGTAACAGTTATTCTTTTGATTATTAATTTGTGAACTATGTTTTTCTTTTATCAATTTTAATGGCAGTCTTGACAAACAGTCAGCAAAAATATTTTTTGTAGAAGTCACAAATTCTATATTAAAGTTGTAAGCGGCAAGCTTTACCGCATACCTCTGTAATCGGCTAGCGGCCGTTTGTGGAATACCCTTATTTTTTCCGAAAATATAACTTAACGCCTTATGATCACTACGTAATATAAAATGTCTTCCGTAAAGATACTGATGATGTTTAGTGACTCCGAACACGATAGCGAGGGCTTCTTTATCTAGCTGTGAGTAATTAGATTCGGCCGCATTGAGCGTACGCGATGCACAGCTGACTAACCGCTCCGAGCCGTCCGCGAAGCGGTGAGTAAGCACGGCGCCCAGTCCATACGTGCTGCTGTCTACAGACAATATCAATGGCAAACGAGCGTCGTAATGCGCTAATACCGGTGCTTTGCACAGTTTTTGTTTTATATTTTCGAATGCGCGCTCACACTCCCTAGTCCAATTCCATTTTACGTTTTTTTTTAATAGATTATAGAGGGGATTCAGAGTTTGACTAATATTTATACAAAATTTAGAATAAAAATTAACGAGCCCCAAAAAACTTTTCAATTGCGTTACATTTGTAGGGGTGGGGGCGGTCACAATAGATTCCACTTTTTTGTTATCTGTGTGTAGCCCGTTTTTATCGATTTTATACCCAAGATATGTCACATTATTTTTAAAAAATTCACATTTTGATAGATTAACTCGTAATCCCGCGTCTCTTAAACACAATAAGACAGCTTTTAAGTTTTTTAAATGGTCATTTTTATCTTTACCCGTCACGCAAATATCATCTTGAAAGACAACCGTACACGGCAAGCCACACAACGTTTCCTCCATCGATTTTTGAAAATTTTCGGGTATACATTTAATACCAAATGGAACGCGTTTATATACAAATGTCCCTATGTGTGTGGTGATAGCCGTCATCGGCTGTGAGTCTTCTGTAAGTACCATTTGCTGATAGGCATGGGACAAATCCAATTTTGTAAACTGTTCACCCCCTGCCAGTGTAGCAAATATGTCTTCTATGCGAGGCAATGGATAATGAAAGTCTTTAATTAAAGGATTGATTGTAATTTTATAATCTCCGCATATACGGATGTTACCGTTTTTTTTATAACCGGTACGATCGGTGTACCGTAATCCGATCGGTCCACTTTATAAATAACCCCTTCATGTAACAACCGCTTAAGTTCGTTTTCGACCGGCGTCCTCAAAGCGAGTGGAAGGGGGCGCGCCTTAACAAAAACTGGCGTTTTATCACTTAGTTGTAAATTAATTAGCGTTTTAAATGTCCCAAGACCATCAGCAAATACGTCAGAGAATTCTTTATGTAAACTATTGACTAAAGTCTCCTCAGCTATGTGAAAACATTGTACAACATTTTGCAATTGTAAACAACGGAGCCAGGTACGACCCATTAAAGGCGGGCCTCCGTTTTCAATAATATATAATTCAAGTAGTTCAGTCTTAGAGTCAAAAGTTACCTCGACCGGTATATAGCCCATAGGTTGTATTATATTACCTACGTATGACTTTAAACGTAAAGCTTTTTTATGAATAGGAATGTGAGAAAATAATTCATTATAATTATTTTTTGATATTACAGAGATTTTACTGCCCGTGTCTATTTCAAACTTGACTGTTATATCATTAATCTTTAAATCAATGTAATAAGGACTGTCATTATTGCTACAAATTATATTATAAAAATCTAGTTCGCTGTCACCTGAATCATCTAAAAAATGTTGCTCCTTAATTTCCTTTGGGTCACTTCCGTCACTTTTACGCGTATTTTTACGGCACACCACTTTTAAATGTCCTTTTTGACCGCACTGATCACAAGAATAATTTTTGTAACGACATCTCGCTGCTGAATGACCGTTGCGGCCGCAACGCCAGCATCGGGCTGCCTGATGTACTACCGCTGGCTGCCCCGATGCCGGCGACACCGCGCTGCGCCGCTCTCGTCTCGCCGCTATGCTGTGCAGTGACTCAGCTGCGCCTCTGCTTTCGCCGCCGCCGGACCCCGCCTGTATAGCGTGCCTGTCCGCTGCCTCCAGAGAAAGCGCCAGTTCCACGGCGCGATTGTAACTTAAATCCTTTTCGGCAAACAGCCTGGACCTCATGTCCTCATTGTAAAGACCAGATACGAATTGATCCCGCAAGTTAACCTCCAGTGGGTTCATAACGGTCTCCGTGAAATTGCAAGTTTTAGCCAGACGCTTTAAATTTTGCAAATAATCACACACTGTCTCATCTTGCTTTTGCTTTCTTTGCCGAAAGATATGTCGTTCCGCAATCTCCGACCGCTGTGGTTCTAAGTGTTTTCTCACTACTCTCACCAATTCATCGAAACTTTTGTTTTCCGGTAGTTCCGGTGCGCAGAGATCGCACATTAACTCGTAACAGGTTACACCCACGTGGGTCACCAAAGTAGCCACATGTAGATTCACTGGTATACTATTTAGGGTTATAAACTGTTTCACACGACGACAATATGCATCCCAGTTATGAACACCAATTTCAAAAGTCTCAATTTTTCCTATCGGCATTTTGAATGTAAAAGAAACGTATGGTTATTAAAAATACCCGACTGCGCCAATGTAATGTATTCAATGAAAGACAGACGATCACGGAATGAGGTTTATTAATGGCCGATGCAAAGAACTGTATGTGACGGTGTACAGAAAAAATATATTTATCTACTACCATCAATATTAATACATAACAATTACTAGCAATCTATACCTGAGAATGCAAATTGTTAGCAACGAGGTCCTAGTACCTTTTACTAACAATCTTTTTCCGTTCCCCATATAGGTAATTACATAATTATATTACGGTGATGCATTTTAAAGTATATATTTTACACTATATCGAAATACTTTATTATCGTGTTATGGCGTCGTACTTTGTCATAGCATCGATCAAGAATGAGGAAGTTTAAAATGCGATGTTTTTAAGTGGATGAATATTTTTTTTATTCAATCAATAGATTTGATAAGGTCAATGAATATAAATTGCGCAAAATGACATAATTCATTCTTTTCTTTTTATAGTATAAACTAATATTAATAATAATAATCCTGGACAATTAATATGCCACCATCCCCTTACCATCACAGTCCTAAACTAAACAGAGGAAATTTTATGTTGCGAATTTTACTTTGTTTTTAATTTATTTGGAATTCTTTAATTTTCCGTAGTTAAAAGTATCTAAAATGTTGACCAGGGATTCAAGGTACCACCATACAAAATTTCACAAACAGACAGAGAAACAATTTTTTTTAGAAAATCTGGATGTGTTCTATTTTTCTTCTAACATTCCTCTCGACCGGCTTTTGACGTTTTTTTTCTATATGCAGACATTCGATCTCTACAGTTTTGTTATATGTATAGATAACATAATATATTGTAAAATAACGTATCCATACTGATTATTAATCCAATTCTTTCAGTAATGGTGGTCAGGTTACTGCACTGAATATTTGTGTTCTCACAAATGCTAGTTAATGAAATTTAACAAAATAATTTTAAATGATTAAGTAATCGATTTACAAATGATATATTACCCCATTCATCAGGCAGGTGCGGTTGCTTCCGCAGCCATTCCTTGATGGCGGCGAGGTCCTGGTCACGTGTATTGACGTCCTCGTTCAGATCAATCCTGATTTTCTTCCATATCTCGCCCGATGGCTGGACCAATAGCTCAGATTTTAACTTCATTGTTACCTGAAATAGAGACAAAGTGATTATATTCATATGCTATTTGGTAGTTTCTGTTCATAAATAATATATTGTTTCTTAGCTAATTTTTTTGACTGAATGTGAAATGCTAATATGGGAGTAGAGTGGTGTATTGTGTTTCGAGTCAGTACACCATTTATAAATAACCCTGGTCAGTGGTTTATTACTATTATTAATGTCTTAAATTTAATTTATCTTCTAGTAAATGGAAGAAGGAATGAAGAGATCAGTCGTGCCTATTTACAAATGTACAATGTAGAGATTTATGTATTGTGTACATATCTTTTATGTACATATAGTACATAAAAGATTTGTACATAATAATTAATTTAGAAATATAATATTTCTAACTTATCTATATAGGTTATTTTTGTAACTAAATTTGGCTCAACTGTATACTTATAGTACATACGCTAAATTGTTTTAAACGGAGATGCTATATTCTTTTTTTTTTACTGATCAAACGTTGCTATGTAAAAAATAACGTCATTCAAATTATTATGAAATATGAACTCAAATAGTAAGTCCACGGATTTAAAATCACTTTACAAGATTCTATAGTGTAATTATTGACATAGACGCAACATAAAGTAAACATTTGGCCCTCACAGCTATATTATAATAGTTTCACCGTTCATAATAATGATAAATGTAAGGTTGCAAATAGGTGTGAATCTCGTGGCCATATTTTACTATGATTACCAATTACGAAACGATTTGTAAATCCTTTGTTCTGTCCTATTACAAGACCGAGTTTTTCCGCTTCAGAAAGAGTCATAAGTTGTTGATTCCGGTGACTGTGAGGATGACATAGCGTTGCTAAAATACTTATATTCCTTAGCCTCTGTTTTCTTCCAAGAGCAAGAAGATCTCGTTAATGAGGTTTTCTGTTTGCATTATGTAGAGCATAACGCTATTTTTCAAGGCCACCATCGAATTTGCAGTGTATTTGAAATTATATTACCCTTAGAGAGCAAGGTAAGGGGATTGTTGATAAGGGAGTCCCCATTGGCCCTTTTATAGGAAACCATTGTGGATAATTTCTGGAGAATTCTATATTATGGGCTGACTGATTTGATGTCACCATTCTATCGTCCACTAATTGTCGGTATATATGTATGTATATACTTTTAAACTTTCGTGTTTAATATACATTATTTAAATTATTAACCAGGTCTTAACACGAATAATTTTATGGCAAATAAATTTACCTCTCTCGACGTTTCGACTAGGTTGTACTAGCCTATGTAAATACCCGGTTAATAATTTAAATAATATGTATATACTGTTAGCGGATGTGGGTGGATCATACAATATTCAGTTATTAAGGAAATGAACCCTAGAATTTACTGGCCACCAATAGAAAAAAGAGAATCATTTGTTGATTATTCAATAATATTTTAACTAACTGACAATATAAATTATTAATCCCTACATTAAAACTAACTAACTAACGACTATAAACTAACTGTGTACCAAATTCCTATCGAATTCGTCTAGTAGTTTTTGCACGAAAGACAACATTTATTTTGTTCATTTATCTTATGAAAAAACTTTTTGTTCATAATATTAGTAATGTTATTATAAGATTTCATGTTTTTATGATGATATAGTTTGCATATGAATAGTTATAATTTTCAGATGTATCATATGTTAGTAACATTACAACTTACAATAGTGAATATCGCATCCAAATCAGTTAATTCATTTCTGAAATTAATACGCAATAGCCCCCAATATATAAAAACATGAATAATTCTTATTTTGGGTTCTAGTATGTTAGTAAAATCATATACTATAGAGACAGCAATCAGATACATTTTTGTTATATGTATAGATAACATACGAGCTGCCAGTGTATATTTAAATTCTACTTCTGAGTTATTTAATTACAAATATTTGTGTATATGTAATATTATGTTATCTGTCGTATTAATGAGCATTGCATGTTAATGTACATATATATATTTATACTTTATATTAATATACTCGTATATATTTACATACAATACTCTTTAATACAAATAATTGTTACATATATATTCGTCTTTTTGTTATATATAAAATGAATAATACATTTGTAATAACAATATTTATGTATATTCTGCTTAATTTGTTGCTAGATGATACTGTCTCAGTAACTTGTGTCTAGATCTATTGTTTATTATCAAATGTTACTCTTCATATATATATATCTTGACTGATATATATTGGACAAGTAGTCTCCACAGAATCTTGAGAATAATTTATATATTGTTTAAGATTAAATATTTGGCTACTCTAGATAAATGGCTTATCTTGTCGAGATAATGCTTTGTAATATGCTGTAGAGTTAAGAGAAGCCACTACGACGCGACGTATCAAGGCAATATCGTTATTGTGGTTTGTTACTCGAATTGCGATTGACTTGACTTCTTTATCGTATTACAAATATTTACCTAAAATTCTCGCTTACTTTCCCCGCGACGCATATATGTGTAATTTTGTGATTAGAATATAAACAAAAGAACACAGATTTTTCAGTAAAGCTTATCAAATTAGTGAAAACGGCATTCAAATGGGATAACATGTTTCATAGATGCTAATCTATAAGCATACAAACGAGAAGACAAATAGATAAAATTCTAGCATTCGTTGATTTGGGTTATATTACGTTGATAAGATCCCTCAGAAATACTTTTTCTCATGTATCTTCTATATGTATTTTCGATTCTCAGTAGTGATCTATATATTATATATGTATATATAAATGAATTGCTGTTCGTTAGTCTCGCTAAAACTTGTTCGGGTGCGTTCTGAAATTTATTGCGTAAGTCAACTTCAAAAATCCTTTGACATATTTAATTTTGAGGCAGAACGGCATTCGCGGGGTCAGCTACTTTAAAATATTAATAGAATATGATTATTTCATGGTGCTAAATAAAAAATAATTCCATTTATATACAGTATATTCTTTTCTGCACTTTTATGTTGTTCATTTTCTTTAAAAAAGCAGACGGGTCACACACAAACTCGCAGGTCATAGTTAGTGATAAATAAAAACGGTAGTCACAGCCTGTCTAATCTTGTTTGTTTTATCTTATTATCATTCATTTAGTATTCAAACAAGACTTCTGCTTTGTTTGTCCTACGTAATATGCGCAACGCGTTTATCGTGCGGTCACCTATGTGTGTAATACATTATAAGCCACTGCTTTATATTAAAGAACTATTATAGGTATAGCCAGTTTTATGGGTCATTTTGGGATAAAATCGCAATGAAATTTATATATTGCTTATATTTTTACACACACATAAATATCGTATACATGCCCGATTTAATGCCTAATTTTGTAATGGTCAACTGTCGCGCAAAACAGAGAATATAGAGGCATAATCTATACACAAATGTCACAAGATCTCTTTGTTTTTAACTCTTGTACAATACCAAAAGAAGTAGTACTAGAGAATAAATTACATATGTATATATATAGATATATAGAGAATTCTTTATATTGTCATAGTTAATTTGAGTAATATTTACGCAACAACTTTTCTAAGAGAATTCAGTTTGGTATTAGGTATGTGTAGTCAGGATTATAGTGGTATACCTACAAAAATAAGAAGTGGTTCATTAATGTCTAAGGAAAAAAGTTGTTCTAAAGTTAAGGTTCCCATTAAATAAGTAAAAAAAACTAAATTTAATTTTTACATGTTCGTTTCGATAACACAATTTTTTTTATTATATTCTTTACTAACGGCCGTTAGTACTACAAATGTGATAAAACTTGTAAAGCAAGCTGCGTTATGGCAGACGATGAAATACTATTTTTCGCGATTGAAAGTATTTTCTGAAGTAGGCAAAATAAATAAAAAAGTAAGACTAAAGAAAATATCTCTACAGAAGTGTCTTCCCTTTAAAATTTGTAATTCATATTTATATACGGTATCTGTCGTAACTCATTAGTAATACCATAAGTTAAAATGGGACAAATATAAGACTTAGTTATTTTAATGACTATTTATATTAATATTTATAATTCATAAATATTATGTTGGTTATTACGTTTTTATTACCATATCTAAGATTGACATCAAAATTATATTTTTTTTTCTTAAATGTATTAATATATATACTAGTATTCATATAAGTAAAATAGTGAAGTTTAGTTCTCCCATAATAAATATTTTTTTTATAAACAACATGAAATTTTGCTATGGATAAAAGACCACTCATTTCCTTTTTTTCTATGCCTTACTAATGAATAATGAAACCATATTGAAATAATAACTAAAAGCAATACCTAAATCCTTAGTTATTGCTCTTAGGGAAATTATAATATTTTTGAAAGGTGGGTTTCTTTAAATGACATATTACAATGGGAACGTAACTTCCCGTGCAAAATTATTATAAATATCCACTATTACTAATTGCAAATATAGTTCATTTAAGGAAAATATGGTAAACGTAATATTTGTGAACGTTATCTGTATTATATTAGCTATCGATGATACCTAAGGCAATATCTATAGTTTACCATGTGTTAAAAAATAGCAAGAACCAGCGAGAAGCCAGTAAATGTTGTGAATAAAATAAATTAAAAAATTACTGCCATTACTGACACCATACCGTACTATACTTATCGTGACTTTTACTACCGAAATTCTCTTTGATTTATCTTATTAAACCCTTTGACTAATATACACATAACAATTAACAAGATCATACTAATATTATAAAAGCGAAAGTTTGTGAGTATAGATGAATGTTTGTTACTCTTTCTCGCAAAAAGTACTAAATGGATTTTAATGAAACTATACAATAACAAAGCTTATACATCATAATAACACATGGGTTATAATTTAAAAAAATACTATGAAATTTTGGCGAAATAATATAATGATAAATGTCAAGTAAGTGTGATGCAGACGAAGTTACGCTGATCAGCACAATAATTAACAATAATACCATACCATAGATAAAAAGGTCAGTTTTAAAATAT